AAATCGAAATATTCTTACACCAAAGAGCTGTCATTTGTTGTAATTTTTCAGATTGTGGAAAAAGTGAGAAACCGAATGTGTAAGACATGCGTCATTTACGCCATGACTCATTTACCAAACAGTAGATTCCATACAACATGTGACCATTACCGTACAAAGAATGTTTTCCACTATCATTTGGTTTTCTTGAATCATTTTGTTTTCCTTACTAATATTACGATTATATATATACACAATTTTTTTTTACTTCTTAATTTCCCCGTTTACGTATGATTAATAAAGGCAAATGCCTATTTGCCATAAAAATAATAATTGGTTGATGCAACTTGCAAGAACATGGTAACTTGTTAGGTGAGTTTTCATCTTTTGAATTACTGATTATCGGTTAAAATAATTCTCACACCAAAACCTGTATCACTGTAGTGAAACTAGCTATGTGATACAAATACATTTTGTTTTGGCGAGTTAATGATACAGATTATTCAAAGACGATAGTAGTTTTTAGTTAACTATCATATATACTGTTTTGGTGGAATGTTTTCTTAAACACATTTCATGTCTTGGGATTATTATTCTCATTAATATTGTGTTAGGTTATTCTTTTTTGCTTCTTCTCTTCGGACTTGGTTGGTGTTAGTTAGGGTATCTTAAGACCTACATAAGACAAGACTACACCAGTTTTACATAAGAGAAACACAAAAAAGTTCATACAATACTAAAGTAATCAAATCAATTACGGCTCATATACTAGATTATGTTTATTGAGCTTTTACTTTTACCATCCACACAAGAAGTCACCCATACTGAGGCTACTTTAAACAAGTCATAACACAAATCGAGCTTACTTTAACATAACACATGAGAAAAACACCAAAGTAATAAAAAGGGGTAAATTAAGAGCTTCGAGAGAGAACCCCTTCTCCTCCGCAGACTCCTTAGTCTTGTTGGTCCGACGAGATAGCTAAGCAATGAAATTAACTAATGACAAGTTCCACCTTTATTTAATCAAGAAACAAAAAACAAGAACCAAGGAAAAATTAAGGTACCTGGGACAGTAGAGCCATAATAAAAACCATGGTCAGGTATGACTCTAGTGGGTTCCGGTAAAGGCTCAGCAACTACCTTCCATCCTCCGACGTCAGTTCCACTAAGTTTCAGGGCCCTCGCTGCTGCGTCTTGTCCGTAAAAATAAATAGAAGCCCAACTGTAAAAAAAAAAAGAAAAATACAAGTTTTGTTTAGCCAGCTGGGAAAAATTCACAACTGGTGGGAGGAAGAGGCCAGAAAACCTTTCGAGAACATTGGTCCGGGAGTCTTTTGAGAGACACAAATCTGTGATCTCGCCACATGAAGAGAAAAGTCTAATCAATGCACTTTTGACATGATCCAAAGGAAGGGAAGTGTCATATCCCTTGATGCAAATCATAGTGCTACTGCAATAAGTTGAATAATGGGTGGCATCAACACAAGAACACAAAATCTCACAAAAAATAAGCATCAATTTGACCTCTGTTTTCGGACGTGTGCGGCTCTGATAGCACCCGCTAGATTAGGATCAATCGTAGACTTTATTTTCGGTAAAGACTGAATAACTGCAATCCATCCTCCCAGGTCACGTCCATTAAGTGCCAGGGCATGCTTTTCTGAGTCTTTTCCCTGGATATAAACGAAAGCACATCTGTGACAACAAAAAGGTTTTTTTAGCTTAGCATTAAACATGAAACAGAATTCACAAAACAGAGAAGCTTGCAAACCTGTTGAGAAGATTGGTTACAGAGGGTCTCTGGGAACTTCAACCTCACAGACTTCTCCACATGAGTAGAAATGGTTACGCAATACATCCTTGATGTCATCCGCAGGAAGCGAAGTGTCGTATCCCTCAACGGAAATCCTAAAGCAACTGCAATAATATGAATATTGTAATCAACACAAGAACACATGTAACATATACAAAATCTCCACAC